AAGACCTGACGTTAAATTGACTGCCAGCTGGGTGCCTCGCTTACTCTTTACACAGCCAGTTTGTGATTTTCTCTTCCAGTGTGACTTACAACCAGCAGCAGAGGAAGAAGACCTTCCAGTATGTCTATAGGACTGGAGTTGATTGGTATTTCCCTGTGCATACTGGGATGGATCATTGCAATTGTAGCCTGTGCCCTTCCCATGTGGAGAGTGACGGCCTTCATCGGCAGCAACATTGTGACGGCTCAGATCATCTGGGAGGGTCTGTGGATGAGCTGCGTGGTCCAGAGCACAGGACAGATGCAATGTAAGGTCCACGATTCTATGCTGTCTCTCTCTCAGGACCTCCAAGCAGCGCGCGCCCTCACCGTCATCTCCATCCTGTTGGCCATCCTGGCTGTGCTTGTGGCCATTGCCGGGGCAAAGTGCACCAACTGCATCGAGGATGAGGCCTCCAAATCCAAAGTGATGATCATCTCTGGAGTCTTCTTCATCGTTTCTGGTGTGATGCAGCTGATTCCCGTCTCCTGGTTGGCCCACAGCATAACCAGGGACTTCTACAACCCGCTGATCATTGATTCTCAACGGAGAGAGCTGGGGGCAGCGCTGTATGTCGGCTGGGGGGCAGCCACGCTCCTGGTTCTCGGCGGAGGACTTTTGTGCTGCTCCTGTCCGCCAAAGGAGACCAGATACAACAGCTCGCGAATGGCTTACTCTGCCCGGTCTGCAGGTGGCCAGGTTTTAGAGAGAAAGGACTATGTATAAATGAAGTTCAAACAAGAAGAGACATGACTGAATCTCTACAACACTTTTTTAATCCAACAGGAACAATGTTGGGGAAGGAAGATGAGAAAAAACAAGCATTTGACTTTTTTCCCCAGTAAATCAAACAATTCAGAAACAGTTCTTTAGCTGCAGAAGAAAAGAAAACACACAAAAAGCACATTTATGCTTTATTTTTTTGTGCACTGTATTTTTAAGATAAAAACTTACTTTCAAATTACTGTTACTTTTTATAAAATTGTAGATGTAATGTTTGCAATTCAAGGAAAATGTTCCAAATTCTACTGCAAATCTTGTGAAGAACTCCTTAGAATAAAAACAAGGACAAATTACAGTTAAGAAAAGAGAAATACATGTAGGTATATTAGAGACATTTCCCCTTCTAGCAGATACAATAGATAATAACTATTTTTGAACAGTTTATTGTGGTAAAAAGAGATTTTGGTGTCTTACTTCATGGTTTGCAGTGAAAGAGGAACAAACGTGTTTTCTTTTACAATCAATTTATCTTAATGTTTTACATGCTCACTCCTATGATGTTATTTTTTAAATAAAACTAAGTGTTATTAGGAACTGATTTGTTTTGTTTTCATTTTAAATGTTTAGATCTTTTGTAACACCCTGCATCTTCAGGTGAGATATTGACCTCTGCATGAGTCAGTGAACGTTCCTCAGAAATGATAGAGCGTGCAGGAGCCCGCTGTAATTGTAAGACTACCCTGGACATTCAATCCCAAGGACCGTGTTACGTCAAGGTGGTAACTTGGTTGCACACGCGCCGCAAACAATTAGCCATGAGATCGGTGTAACAGGCAGAGGTGAGAAGAGTGAATACAAAATGAAAATGGGTCCATCCAGAGCATGTGCTTCCCTCAGAGCTGCACATGTCCTACTGTCATGTTACTTACATGCCTTTTGCACATTTTAGATATTTCACTCATGCCTTTCAGGGTGGTTTCAGAAAACACATGGTGACACTAGGACAAAGACCTGAAAAATTCATGAACATTTCACAGTAAATATGGGAGACGTTTCCTAATTCCGTATCAGGTTACTGATATCCGTGTCATCCCAGCAGAGAGGATGGTCGCAATCACAGCAACTACAAATTAGTTATGATACAACTACAAATTAGTTATGACGCATAAAAGACAGAGTTAATTCTGCTAATCAACTCCGTCTTTTATGCGTCATAACTGCTTAATTCTAATAACTGATCAATATGAATTGTCAATTTTCAAGTATAGCTTCCATTTCCTGTCTAACCAACATGTTGGGAATGTTTGTTTATTTGTTAATCTCAACACTGAATCTCTCTTGCATGCCAGCATTCAGTAAACAAAAATCTAATGCAACCTTTTTTTTTTGTATGAATGCAGTTTATTAGATGATTAACGAAACACACAGAGGAAGGCCTGCTGCTAGGTGACCAAAAACCCCCAAAGGCTGTGATGAAATGCTATCTCATCAAATACCTCAACCTGGAGGGCTGCAGGAAAAGAGAAGAAAGGAAGTTCTGTGAGTGTGTGCTGTTGTGCTCTGTTGGTTTGGGCCAAACTCTGCTCATGTGACTGAAACTGGGGAATGCGAAGGGCAGGGAGGCAGCCTGGCACCTGGAGGGAGACAAGGAAAACTCAACCCCCCACCCTGATTTAACATAGACTCACTGTGTCCACTCACTGGGAACAGAAACTCACCAGTGTGCCGGCATGTGTGTTCATCTGAAGTATCTGGTAGAATCGTGTCTTCAAACAACTTCTCTTCTTGATGCAGACATTGTCTTTTGGAAGAGGAAATGTTTGCATAAGATTATCCTAAAACTGATCTGCGACTCCACAACCTTATATTGGTCTTATTAACCTTAAAATGCAAAGAACTAAACAATGTTTTAAAATACAAAGGTAAAAAAAAATGCTTACTTTTTTACCTTAGGTTGAAAACTACTTTTTTTTTCTATGAGAATTGACCTACGGTACTAAGAAAAATGTATTTATAGCCTTTATGTAAAAAATAAGATATTATATCATCTGAAAATATAAAGCAAAAATAAAACTTGTTTTTAAACAAAAATAAATATTGCATTAAATCTTTAGAAAGAGCTAATGTTTTTAACGTGGTTTAAATTTGCTTTTAGTGGGGTTTTTTTTTTTAGGTTGCTGACCTCATAAAATCCCCTCCAAAATTTGACCCAGTAACAGTTTCCTCCCAGCTGCAGCTGGATCAGACAACATATCTATCAGAGACTCCAGTCAATTCCAACAAAGATAACATATTTACCGGTCCTGACCTCTGAGACCATTTAGATTTTTTTAACACAGACTTTGGACCCCAAAAAATTTCACAACAATGTAGCATCAATAGAACAATTTCTAATAGGTATTGAGGAACAGAAAATCATAAAATCAATAACAAAGATACACTTTAAAATTCAAAAATCACAAGCAATATATTACCTGTGAACTTTATTTGTGGTACTTTAAAGCCTTAATAGAAACTATTTTCTTTTCTTTCTCAGAGGAAAAAGTGTGTCTGTGTCTGTGTGTCTGGTGTCTGTGGTTGGTTATCAAAAATGGTCTCCCTTGAAAAAGGTCAAAATTGTTAAAAAAGAATAGTTCACATAGTTTTCTGTCTCTATGGAGTTTTGGAAATGTTTAAAGGTTTGGCATTTTATTGCCCCTGTAAAAATAGTCCCATAGATCAGTGTTTTCCAACCTTTTTTAAGTAACCCGTTCAGTCAAAAGAATTGATAATTATTCACAAGTGGAATATACAATAATTGATTATAAAATAAAAACGATTTTACTTAATCTTTTAATTTGTTAAATGGTAATAGCAGATAGTAAATTTTACCATTTCAATTTGAACATTTAATTGTTAGGAATTTTATTCTTTTCATTTCAAATAAAAATACAAAATCAGTAAATGGCCTGGAAGTTAGTAAAGAATCAAAATAAATACTAAATAAAATCTCAAAAAACCTGTATTTATAAAACAGGAGCCCCTCCGCTTGGCTTGGATGTGTGACAAAGCTGAAGGTGAACTCAAACATCTAAGAAAAACACATTTTTTGGTTGATAAAAGATTGTTTAATTGATTCTTACAAAGCAAAACAGATCCCAGCCCTATTATATTTTAGTAGCTAAGAAACAAAATGTTTCTGTA